AAAGATTATTAGCTTATTCTGTTCTCGGAATATTTTCTCTGCCTTCTTGCTTTAACTCAAACCTGGGTCTCCTCTCATGATAACACTTCCAATGCAGCCCTCTCCAGCAGTAGTACTTCTTTCTCCCATGGCCTTTGTACCCTCAGCCCCAGAAAAATAATCTGAGGCACTACTAGGTCACTGGACATTGTCTGAAGATTTTTAGCTCCTGACTCACAGTCCTTCCCTCTTCCACAAAACTGACCTTACTTTTTGGCAATATCGATAGCCTCACAGACACATTTTGGCCCTTCTTTTCCTCTAGTGACCATCTGTCATACCCTCAGGATCACACACTGGCCTGGACGCTGTCGTGACCAATATCTGTACTTTTCTTTGATCTCATTTTCAAGAATCCCATTTGCTGGCTACCACCCCCTGTCTCTTCAGCTCACACGCTTACAATTCTTTGATCTCACCAAGACCAGGTCTATTGGTCCTATTTCCTTTTAATTCACACTCCTTCCCTTTACACTCCCATTTTATTCCATCGCCAGTTCAGATAGTTTAGTCAATCATGAGTGCTTCTTTGCACACAACTCGTTTTCTTTATTTTCTCAGTTCCGTATTCCTCTCTCAGAAAACCCTGGCCCTGGCTGAACTTATTCTGCCTACCTAGGCCTGTGATGGGGTGCAGAACAACCTACAAAATATGGGACTGTGGCATTTGAAAAAGCAGTAAAAGCAAGAAGGTCTCTCTGACCTTCTCCTGTTCTTCTCCTTTGAAGGACGCCATAAGAGAATTCTCTGACCCTCGCCCTCAAAGGCTGTCTTCCTACATCTGGAAGAAAGGAACACCCTTATCCTCAAAGACCCTGAGGTACAGAGTAATCTGAACAGAGGCCTTACAAAATTCCCCACAATTTATGACCGTAGATTATACCTTTTGGTCTTCTAATACTTCTACTCTCTTGCTCAAACTTAGCATAAAAATCCACACATTCCCTGTTTCTTTGGGTCTTCGTTTCTGAAGGTTGCTGTGTCGTGTAAAACTTATGTCAAGTATGCCTGTTCCTTATTTGTCTTTTGCCACAGGGTTCTCAACCATCAACCTACCAATGGTAAGGAAAGAAACCTTTTCTTTCCCACGTCTGCTTTCCCAGTTGTTTACTGCAGGCTGGAAGAAATACACAATTATGCTGAATTCCCTCATTTAAAATATACATTTTTTCTGGGCTTTTACTGCTGCCCAAAAACTTAATACATGTCCATAGTTTGCTGCTTTCCCACTCTGGAAGAGAATAATTTTGCTTTTCCAATCTAAAGAGACTTACAGAGAACTCCCACTACCCTTTTTACCCATCTGCTAATGTATTGCCTTTTTTCACATGTTCATGGATAGACTACAGTGTACCTGCTTTGGTCTGAATGCTTGTGTTCTCCCAAAATTCATGTACCTGCTTTGGTCTGAATGCTTGTGTCCTCCCAACATTCATGTGTTAAAATCTTAACCCTTGAGGTGATAGTATTAGGAGGTGTAGTCTTTGAGAATTGATTAGGCCATGCGGTCAGAGCCTTAAAAATGGAATCAGTGACCTTTTAAAAGATGCCTGAGACAGCTCTCTCAACTCTTCTGCCATGTGAAGTTATAGCAAAAAGATGGCCATCTCTGAACCAGGAAGTGGACCCTCACCACACACCAAATCTACAGGTGCCATAATCTTGGACTTCTCAGACTTCAGAATTGTACAAAATAAATTTCTATTGTTTATAAGCCACTCAGTCTAGGTCATTTTGGTATAGCTATTGAATAGATATATTTCTCAACTGAGGTCAAGCCTTCTGTTTCCCCTACACAAGAAAATCAATCCAGCAATTCTTCCTTTATTCTCTTGTGTGATCTAATTTTACCTCTCCACTGGGTCACTGTCATCAAAAGGAACACATATTAAAAGTTATTGATGCCATACTTCTTACCATCTACCACCACATGTCCCCATTTATCACCTCCCATTCTCTTTTTAAAAAGTCCCTCTAATTAGACTTCTACTCACACTACTCCACTAAAGATGTTTTTTTGTCGATCTCAGTTCTCATTTTTTTAATCTATTAACAACATTTGACAAAGTTGGTTACTCCCTCATCTTTGACAGATTTTATTCACTTGGTTTCAGAACATTGCACTCACTTGTTTTTCCATTACTCTTTGGCCATTTCTTGGTGTCCTCTGATTGCATCTCTTCTCTCAACTTCCAAATGTAAGAGTGCAGTAAACTTAGACCTTTCTGTCCTCTACGCTTAATCCCTTAGTAATTTTGAAATCATCATCACAGGTTTAACAAGAATTATATGCCAGGTTCTGGGCAGAAGTCTAGTTATAATTAAGCATTAATAAGCTTGCACTTTGGCACATTACCTTGCAGCCCAAAGTCACATAGTACTAAATCCTAACATATGCATCCTCATTGTTCTTATAGACAGGCTTTCTGATATTAGGATGATAAAGCTTTTGTTTAAGAATTTTTTAAGATGTTCTTTAGATCTTGAATTCCAGGGGAAAGGCTGATGTCAACCAGTTTGCAGACCCCCCAGGGGAACCAAACCAGCATGATAATGTAGTTTCTTCAAATCCTGTCCCATGACTTCACCCTGAATTATTTGACCAATCAATGATCCCCACATTTCAGCCCACTCCATGCCCCTTAAAATCCCTAACTTCAAATTCTTCAGGAGGTAGATTAGAGGCTTCCGCCTGTCTTCTCATTCAGCTACTCTATGATTATTAAACTTTTTCTCTGCTCTAATCCTCAGTCTCAGTATACTGACTTGTTGCACATCAGGTAAACAAACCTATTCAAATTACAATCTCATCCAAGACATTTCCCAAATTTATATTTTCATATCAGATCTCTCCTCTGTACTCTGGGTATAACTGCTAAATTCTGCTATAGCATTTATTTTGAGAATGCTAATTTGTTCCAAAGCGACTGATATTAGTTTGAACATAATGCTATTTTCACATTTTCTTTTATTCATGCCAATTTTGTCCCACCATTGGAATGTATGTAGGTATGTTTCTTTGAACTAGGAATTTTAATTTCATTTAGGTAGCTGCTATTTGTTTTTGTTTTGTTTGTTTTGATAATAGAACTCTTCCAGGCACACCATAGATGATCAATAAATATTTGTAAATGAATAAATGGATTCAGGAGATCTTGTGAAATCCATGGGAATTATATGCAACATTTTTTGTATATATTTAACTTTCCGGGAGAAAGATTATAATTTTCTTCAGATGGTACAAGGGGTCCTTAATTACTTATGAAAACCAGATTAGTAATATAATTTTAACAATGACCCAATAGGTCCTTTTTTGAGCATCAGTATTAGCCCACTTTATGTAAAGTGTTCATATAGTAATTATAATGCCAGAAATATTGTTTCTATTTATGAACATTTTTTAAAGTCAGAAAAGTTAGTGTGCCAAAGTCATATCAAGGTCTTAGGGACACACATCTCACACATTAGTGTGGACACCCAATTTTTACATATATGAAACACAAAAGGATTTATAAATGTTTAATGAATAAACCTGATTGTTTTAAAAAAGTAATAGAATTCAGCATTCAAAAGCACATTATTGGTAACATTTTTGAACTCAGAAAAGCAATTTGTTTATCACTTAAAATTCTCCTATACAATGTTAGCATTTTGCACTATAGTCTTAGGCTTCTCTTCAGGCATGACAGCTATTCCTTCTGAGATTTCTGAGATGAACAAGTATTTACATAATGCTAAAAATAACCTCCTCCTTTTTTCTCTGAAAATTTTATATATAATACCAACTAAATTTTCCGCAGTATGAAAATGAGAACTAAGCAAAAAGCAAAACAATCTAAACAAATAAAATCAACTTAAAAAAATTATTTGCAGAAAAGATATTTATTATTCACAGAACTATTTCATTCCTTATTTATATCTGCTCTGTTCTTGTTTTGCAAAATGTCATATGCTTTGTTACCAAAGTGACTGCTACAGGTACCCACGATAACAACAGTGAGATGAAAGCTTTATAAAAGTAGGGAGGAAGGAAACTGTATAGAGACTGACTTACATATACAAAAGAACAGAGCGAATGAGGTCAATGTGTGTAGGAGCAAATAGCCCTATGTGGCTCAGTTGTTCACAAGGTCATGGTTTTACAGTCACCGTAATACAAATCACAAAAAAAATTGAGGGGAAAAAATTGTAATTTCCAGTCCAGGTAGAATGAAATAATCCAGGTAGCTAAAGGGAAAAAAAAGTATTAAAATTTTAGCTACTGGAAATATTTGGTTTTTTAGAATGATCCATTTTCTAAGGATTACTGTTGAAGCCATTTGTATTTGGTTAATGAAGACAAATTAGGAGCTTAGTTGAAAGATTTGTGTGTTGATAAAAGGAAAATGGAGATGATTATTAGGGTGGGGTCAGAATTCTGCAAAGAGAGATATAATCAAACATGAAGAAATTGGAATAGAAACTATGGAGATAATTGCCTGGTTTCCTCCTTAACATGCTTGATAAGGAGTCACCATATCAGTCAAAACAATCCCAAAAGAGAAACCTCTGAGTCACTCTTGTTTGAACTGGTTGGCTGTTAGATACAACATTGAGAGAGAGAGAGAGGAAAGAGGAAGGGAGGGAGAGAGAGATATTCCTGAACTATATTATTCTATATGGAACCTGTAATTAATAACAGAAACTTAGATTTATGAATCTCTTTGATAAGAGACAAGTCATAGGTGGGCCATCCTTTTAAATCTGATATTTTGCCTGACACTCATACATAAGTACATCTCATTTTTGTTGACTAAAAGCTAACATTATTCCAGGCCTTTCTCAAACTCATCATCTTGTAGATGGAAGGCATAGAGTGGCTGGAGCCTGTAAGATAGTAGATAACTTCATCCATTCCTTGCTGCAAATAAGCTGTGCAATTTTTCATTTGCTAAAATAACCGTAATTTAAAGAAAAATTACCTTTAAGGCTGTTTTGAACTTCTAAAGCTATATCGAGAGCATTAAAGGGCAGAACCGGTTCGTTCGCAATTTGCAAAATCACTTCTCCTGAAAGCTGAAAGAAAAAAGGAAAAAAAAATGAGCATTTAGTAATTAAGCATTTTTGTTTGTTTGGTTTTCATTATTTCATACACTTTTATACATCCAGAGTAGCAAAAATACACAGGAAAAAATATAATTTTATAAAATCTATTTTTCTTTCAAACACCTTTTTCATTGTATCTATTAAAAAAAGCCTCAGCATCTTTTCACGTCTCAGAATAATATAAAGAAATTATATTTTTTTCCTTTTTTTGAGCTAAAATATAAAGAAATTGCTTCCATAGTTGAAGGAGTTATAATATTTAGACTTTAAAACAATTTCTTACAGTTCAGAACATCATAAGATCAAACAGCAGAGAGGAACAACTGAAAATCAATGTCTGGTTCTTGGACTAAGCCAAACTTCAGACAAAATTAATGATCCATTTATTTCATTTGATAACCTACAGGTCACATTTGGCAGTTTACTTTAAAAGTAAACAGGCTTCCAAATTAACCTGCCTTGGGGAGGTCTTATGATTATGGTGACCTTCTGGTCCTGAGCAAAGAACTTTATCTGAGTTCCTCAAATTGTTGAAGTACTGATGAATGCATAATCTATGGACACTGAAAAGGATGCTGATTTGCTTCTGAATCTTGAAGTTTTGCCGATTGTCTTGCATGTAGACGTTTTAGCCTTTGTTACAATCTGTAGCAATGAAAAAGTCCAACTCTGATATAAGAAATCCTTCTCCCTTTCCCTAAACTTTCTTTTTTTGAGTTGGAGTCTCACTCTGTCGCCCGGACTGGAGGGCGGTGGCTGCTCTTGGCCACCGCAGCCTCGACCCGCTGGGCTCCTGCGATCCTTCTGCCTCCGCCTTCCGAGTAGTGGGAACAACAGGCACGCGCTACCACGCCCGGCTCATTTTTTTGATTTATTGTAGAGATGAGGTCTCGCCAAGTTACCCAGGCGGGTCTCGAACCCGCCGGCTCAGGCAATCCCTAAACTTTCTTATAGAAGGCTTTCAGCTTGTAGCAGACTCTGAAACACTCTCAGCTTTGTTCACATGTCTTCACGGGTGTATCCTCACACTTGGCTTCCAATAAACCTTTGTCAAGTTGTTTCTGCCTCAAAAGCCTTAATTTTGGTACACACATTTAAAGTATAATTTAACCCCCCAAAATGCCTTTAAAATCTTAGATATTATTATTATTATTATAATTATTTATTTATTTTTTTTGAGTTGAAGTCTCACTCCATCGCCCAGGCCGTAGTGCAGTGGGCCTCACAGCCACTCCAGGATCGACCTGCTGGGGTCTGGCGATCCTTCCGCCTCAGCCTTCCAAGTAGCCAAAACTACAAGTGTGTGCTAGCAAGCCCGGCTATTTTTTGGTTTATTGTAGAAATGAGGTCTGGCCAAGTTGCCCAGGCTGGTCTCGAACCCGCGGTCTCAGGCAATCCTCTCGCCTTGACCTCCCGAAGTACTGATACTACAGGCTTGAGCCACCACATCCGACGGTACTATTTTGCTAATGCTTTATTCCTAATCACTTTTTGGTAATTTATCAAAACTGATACCATTAATACATCTTTGAGGTGAATGCTTAAATTAAATTTTAAAATAAGTAACATTTTAAATGACATCCCCAAAGCTCATACCTGGAGAATTGTCATAAATGCATAATCCCTCACCACCCTACTCCAAAATTGTGTCTGAATACCAACATACGAACTACAGCTGGACTAGCATCTGCTTAATAGGATGAACAAGTCATATGCATTCATGTACATCTCAAAGGACCTTAGGGCTGGCAGCAAATGCCATTGCTATCTCTCTCTCTCTCTCACAAGTGATATCTAATATTTACCTGGGCTTAACAAATATCCCTACATTTCTCATAACCCTGAAGCCAGTACATAGGGAAATGTGACTAGGCTGATATTATTAATGCACTATGAAATGCAGTTAGTGAATGAAAACAATACCTTAGGAAAGTACACAGGGGAAATCAGTACATAACTTGAGATAGTACAGAACACATAAAAAATATAGCTTACTAGGAAATTAGGATGTTAAGTATTCAAATCCGTATATTGAACAAGGTCCAAATTCCATTTAATATTTAAAAGTTGTATTTCCCAATTGTTTGCACAATTCATATCACGAGCAAAATACAATTCAATTTTATCTTCTTCTGTGTGCTTGGGAAAATGTATTTCTTAGAAATAAAGAGAAAGAGTCAGCTTTGATACCCCTTTATTCCTTTGAGGTATTTTTTTCCCCAAATGTAGCAACCACTTCTTCCCCAATGCCTAAGGCATCTTTGCAGAGATTTATCCTCAGTGTTGGTATGCTGAAAATGATACTTCCAAAGTATCACTATACTTCCAAAGTATAGTACTTTGACATCCAGAGTTAAAGAAGCAGACAAGAGGTTTTTTTTAACCTTTCCTGCCCCCTCCCCATGTCCCCTTTGTCTCTCTCAAAGCACAGGATGAAGCTGTTCTCTAAAGTTCTCTTATCTACCTAGAAACCCTGAACCCCCCAAAAGAAGCACAATTCCCTGACAGCTCCTCCCAAAAATCCCCTTATCTATCACAGCAAAGAAGACAGAGGAATGCAACCACACTGGGATAAACTTTTTTCAAAAGGTTATATCTGCCTCTGGGGCTCATTCAAATTCCAAAGAGAATCATTTACAAGTTAATTTCTGTCTCCCAAGTGCATTTATTCTCCCTAATAATCATTTACTACCCCTGAAGCCCCTCCCTCCCCTATGAAGAAAGGTATATGTATCTGTACCCCACTGGGTTTTGAGTGATCATTCTCTTGAGAATCCCCTGTGCTATATATCTATGCCTCTTTCTTTATTAAAATCTTTCTGTTAATTCATTTTCAGCGAAACTTCAGAGAGCAAGGGGAAGCTTTCCCTTTGTCCTTGCACCATTATGGTGATCACAAAAGTCCTGGGAGACTGCGCACTCTTGATAATGCTGTGCTTCAGGAAAAGAGAAGCGTCTTCAAAAGATTAATATGAATCCTCTTTCTATTCGCCCCACCCCATCCAAAGCATGCAAGGAACACTGATATCTGGAAATATATTGTTTGTAAAAAGGAATCTTTTTTAAGAAATTAAGAAGCATTATGGCTTATTTTTTCAATTTGCACTGGATAATAAAAACTCCAGAACAGACATGTTTTGTTTACACTTTTGGAATCTAGAAACCACACACTACAAAAGATTAAAATGAAAGCGAAAGCGGGGAGGGAGGAGAAAGGTGACTTCTCTGAGTGCTTCTGGAGAAAGCTGTTTTGTTTTGTTTTTCAAAGAGTAGTTTGGCAGCTCAAATGACTAGAATATAAGCCAACTACCTTGCTATTTCTTTCAAAAAGAACCTGGCAACAAAGACTGTGACTTTGGAGACACTAGACGCAAGATAGAATACTTAGACTAAGTCAGCTTTGTTTGCAGTTTCATGAGCAAGAGGGAGATGTGCTTACCCCTTGCCATGCATCAAGGAGAGATGAGCCACACCGCATATTCTTACCACTCAGAAATTCAGTCTTCCTTAGGCATGTCAGAGCAAGCTTCCTTCACATTTATATAAGACCTCATTGTTCTCTTCAAAGTGCTTTCCACCTAGGGATCTTATTTCCTTATCCTGACAACCCTAGAGACAACTAGTGAGGGAATTAATACCCTGTGTTAAAAACATTAAAAATCAGCCTCACTGAGAACACACAGCTTACAGTAATGGTAAAGCTAAAATATCAATAACCGAAATTTCTTGAGCAGCTACTAGGTATCTAATGCTATTTGGACGTTTTCAAGGATCATTCTCCTTCATCCTCACAACAGCTCAGTAAGGCAGGTATCATAGTGCTCACATTATAGATAAAATAATGAGGTTCATGGAGATCAGGTAACTTGTTCAGGTTACATACCCTAGTGTAACTATGCTCCGTTTTTACTATAACATGAGGTTTATGTTAGAATTTAGCAAAAGTGTCTAAGTTATTTTGTAGAGAACTAAAACTAGACTCTAAATCCTTCCTGTTCTTTCTATTATATTGCCTTCCTCCTGCCGGCATAAAAAAGAATCCACTCTCGCTTATAATATTGGCTTATACCTGTAATATTATATCTCAATCCCTGGGTGGCTATGATATTTGGATCCCTTTGACACATATCATAAGCAAATAGATATTCAACATCCATGATATTTAATTATAATAACTTTGCAAACACATAGTCTGTGTCAAAACCCTGTGTCCTTCCTTCTCCATTCTTCTCTGACCATCTTACCCTTTGATCAGCAGATAAAGGAATAATAAATTAGAAAGAAAACAAATTGTACAGAACTAAAAATGTTTTTAAAACTCAAGAAGATTATGTTATTGAAAAATTAGTTAATGAACCCCACATCACAAAAGCTTTCTCACTAAATAATGAGGATGTCCCTAGAACTAGCGGTCTTACTAGTGTTAGGCAAGATTAGGTTGTCAAAAGATAAAACTATACATAGAGTCTTCTTCTAGATTTTAAGAGTAATAAAGGCAAAAAACAACCAAACCCACAGTTATCCTATTTGAAAGATTCTCTTTCCTCCAACTGAAATAATTTTAGTTGCATTTAAAGATTCAAAAGATTATGTTTAAGAAAACAATATAGGGAGATACACAAACATATATATATATATATATGTATATATATATATATTCTTAAACTTAGTAAATAATCTGTTGCCTTATAGGGTAGTGTTTATATTCTCTAACTGTCACACATCTTTCCATTACTCATCAGATCAGTTTAGAAAAAAATTGTATATATATATATATATATATATATATATATATATATATATATTTATTTATTTATTAAACTGTGCATATCTAAAGAATAGAATTATTTTTCTCCCCTTTATTATTATTGTAGGCCATGGCCTAGTATGGGGACTATATTTGCAATAAATACTTCGGATGAATGTATTAGTTAAAGCGTGAACAAGGCCGTGGGATATAAGTAGGTACA